TCTTTTGATATAATTTCTAGTTTTATGTATCATTTTGGCTGATTTCTAGTTAACTGTATGATCAAGATTTCTCATGTGAAGAAAAATAGCATTATTTGTTTGGCCATTTTTAGCATCCCTTTTATGTTCTGCGAGTCTTGTATCTAAATGTCTACCCTTTCACTAACATAAACTGGGATTATATAGACTCCTTGTTCTTTATTTTAAGATGTAGACGTGTTCGAGGGTAGGAAATTCTTAATGGTGTTGGGATATTTATGAACAAATTTGAAACTGTTATTTTTGAGACATTTCTCCAGAGCCACAATATTAGAACTGTAGTTGATGCTGAGTATCTTCTTCTTATTTTCATCTGTAGATGATGCTATTTGTGGGTTATTGTCTTACGTGCTTTATGATGGGCATTCTTGGTGAAACGCAAAGAATATTGTAGCCGTGTAAATGTTTTTGATTTCGTCATCAAAGGTCATGTGATGACATATTCTGAAGGCTCTTAGAAACATGGAAGTTATAATAGATGTTTTAACCGTTTTATGGTAGTACGAGAAAAAACTAATATAGCTTAATGGGTTTGTTGGTTTTCCACAGATTGAGAGAATAGTGTGCTGACAGCAAAAGACGAACCAACTACCTTTAACGCCATCTACAATTATAACAATTAATTACGTGATTGTAGAATTGTTGAAAAGGAATCGTAAAATATCAGCAATTTACTTTAGACAACGGTGTTTATTGCGCACAAAATAATAGCAAACACTGTACACTTAAGACTAAATAATAGTTTTCATGTGACATTCTTACATATTCGTAGAATTATTCATACACAAAGCGAATCTATCAATAACACAATGTAAAAATTAACTTATTGTTGCAACGTTTTCTTACGACAGCGGAAGTCTCGTGACGCTGTTAGCATGCGTGATGAATTTCTTGAATGACTGGGGAAGTTCGAGATGCCCTCTTCGTTAGTATATAAGCCTGGAAGAAAAGCCAGCGGGATATAGACAAATGAAAAGAGAGCAGTAGTTACTTGGAGTTTATTTAGTAAAAGTAAGGACAAGTCCAGTTCATGTAACGATGACCAATTAGTGTGTTTCTTCCTTAATGTTTGCAACAGGCTACTTTTCTTTTTACACAACTGTAGGCATAAGTCACAATAACGTTTTCACTTTCAACAGAATTTCTTTGCTGACTGATTAAATTCATAGACTATAATCACTGAGTATGCACGATCACTCACTAATTTGTCTGTATTATTATTCCCCACTCAACTGAACACTTCACTGTACGTAACTAACTGCTTACTTGTATTTGTATACTGATTAACCCTTTTCTAGATTATGCATGGCAAAATACTGCAGTAAGTTTCAATTTCTTGCTGCAAGTTGCAGTGCTCAACTAACTTGAGCAGGTCTCCTCTATCGTTGTCCTAGTTGCACCAGACATTCCCTAGACGAGATAATCCACCATCCTACATCACCAAAGGCTTAAGTTGTAACCCTGGTAAGGGAGGCAAATGGGTACTAAGCCTTACTCAAGGGCGACCCAGAGATACAAAACTACAATGTACTTGTCTCACTATTACCCTGGCAGTTGTTTGTCATACTGATGGATATAGTTTAACGTCATAGCTAGGATGAATATATATTGGAAATTCTGTGTACCTCAAGGAGAAAAGATCTATGGAAGACCAAGATCACCAACGTCCTGTTTCAATATGGTGCATAAAGAGAGAGAGAGACCATTTTCGAAATTAGTCGAGTTTACTTGATTTTAACGTCATGTGCCCTCTAGCTAACATTTAAGAGATAGCTTACACTTTAGTAGATAACTTAAAGTGTCTAACCAGAGTTCAGCTCTCCAAACAATATTTAGAATTTTAAATATTAACAGAATCGTTTTTATATTCGCACATATTTCATGTAATATAAATGTTTATATTATGTTACTTGATTTCAATATAACTGTGTCTCACTTGATATAATTTATTTTTCACACACCTTATTTCTTACTGGTATTGTCAAATGTAATCCCAAACGTTCGACATACCTCTAAAATAAATGTTTTTTTTTGTTGTTGTTTTTTGTCATTGCCACTGTTTTATTTATTTTTTCACTAGTCTTTTGAACATTTATATTTATCCATTAGTATATCAAAAATATTAGTAATCAACGCTTTAGCTCAAATTGTTATTTTATATTTTCAAAGTGTCGTAATTTGTACATTGCTGATTTTGGAGTTAGAATAAATACTTTATTAGTCAATACGATCTGGTTGGAGAGTTTTGCACATGGTGACGTTAATTAAAAGATGGCGGGTGCTATCGAAGTTCTTGAAAGAGCACAAGTTGTTTCTCGAACAGATAAACAAGCTGGCATTGATATGTATAATAAGATAGGTGAGTATTAAATTGACGAAATAGATGTTTGTAGATATTATATATGTTGGTGTTTACTTAAAACTTGAGTTTTACTATTATTATCGGTTTCAATCGAAACCACTGATTTACGCTGAGTCACTGACTCAAACAGTGCACACTGCTTATTCAGTCATTGTCAAACAAGTCGCGGTTCATTCGTAATATAAACATAATAATTTTAAATACTAATAATACTTGTATTAGCTTAAGTGGGTTTTTATTACGCTACTGAATAATTGTAGTCTTAGTTAACTTTAAGAAAAAGTGGGCTCACTCACTGTGTATTAAGTTTCAAATACAGTAAACTAAAATTCAAAATGTAAAACCTTTGGTATTTCTGTGGGTTTTTGATGATAACAATGATGTATTCTGAAGTAAGAATACATTTAAATGGTCAACATTTGGAGCATTCATTTCCATGAAAAACATTTTTCATTGCAACTGAAAGGTGGTCACAACATGGACCACTATGTCTAATTAGTAATTACCAAAGAGGGTACAAATACTGAGAATATACAGAAAAATGCTTATACTACACACGTAAAAAAGGATAAAAAAAATATATGAATATATATATGTCTTGATTGATATTAATTCTTATATAGAATCGGGATAGGTGTGCATGGGCAATTTACAAGCTATAGCAGCCATAGGATATAGGAAATGTGTGCTTGCTGTATGTGACCATTCTATTATTACTAAGTCACTTTCTCCCACATTTATTATAGAGACATCATAGAAAAACTAACTGAAAGTTTATTACTGAAACCTGTTTGATAATATACCTGTACATCTCTTCAATTAATTGCAACTTACAATTGTTATAATTAAATTTCAGGAAGTATTCAATTTAGTTTTTATGTTCTTGAATCTTGAGCAAATTAGTATTCAGTTCACTTATATTTTGTGAGGAGATGACAACTACTGACAAAACATCTGATCAACTTATCTTCATAGAATGATATGCTAACGTATTATAGCTGTTAGGACAAAATCCTCGGCTCCACTCAGTGTCTAACATTTTAGTTCTGTAAAAATAGTATTAATTGTAATGCTTGAAAAAACTCAAGAGAAAGTTCAAGTATATGATAAGAGGAACTGTACGTAAATATGAACATAATAATAATAATAATAAAAAAAAACTGAAGGTACACCACCTCTAATGTTAACCACTAATAAGCATATAGTTGTAAGACTTTAAGTATGGGAACATTTAGTGAAAGAGTGATAATTACATAATGAGGTTTGACATTTTGCTACACGTTTAGATTAAAATTTTTTTTTTTTTTCAAAAGGCCATGATAAAACATTTATTGCTTGTAAGTTGGGATGATACAAGGTGTTGTGGGAAAGATTTGGAAAATTTTACAAAATAAGTTTCTTTTGATTCACATTAGACATATTCTAGAAAAGAAGAAAAGGATAATGATGAAGATTAAGCCTCATTAGATTAGGAAATCCAAAAGTACTTAATTAGAAACAGTTGTTTGTTAATGTTAAAATAGCAGCAATAATTTTTTTAATAATATTAAATATAATCCAAATGTTAAAATGGGTATTAAAACATTTTTGTTGAAGATCATGTGTGGCTGAACTTTTTCTCGTATTTTTACGAAAGAAGATAATAGCAATATTCTATAGAAATATTGGAGTTGACCTGAAACATGTAGATATTAACGGAATGATAAGAGAGATTAAAATAAAGCAATAGTGACATGGTGTTCTCCATGGTTTTAGTTTTTGGCAGTTCAACAGTGGGCAGGTGCCTGAGAATTGAAGAGTTTTTGATGTTACTCCTGTTTGTAAAGAAATAATTTTATTTTTTTACTGCTTTTTTAATCGTGTCTAACTACTAAGCTGGAGTGACAAAGCAATAAATCACCTAGTGAGAGCATAATTTAAGTTATGGTCAATAAACTATTGAATTACATTATGCAAGACCAGCTCGCATTCATTATTTGCAGAGAACTTTTTATTTTTATTTTTTTTCACTTAAGTTTTCTAATATAACGTAATAAATTTCTAATTTTTACATTTTAGTTACTTTATAAACATAAGCAGTACTTTTTTTGTAAAAACATAGGTGCCTATACTCGTATATATAAGAAATTAAGAAATGAAAACATACAGAATTACCTTTTTATAGAAAATACCAAATTTTCATCATGTTCATATCTGACTCAATATCCTGACTTTGTTCCTTGGTTTTGGTGTCTACTGCTGAATGACATTTTTGGAGCAACCATGACTCTATGTATTTTTTTGGTCAAAGCATGGAAGGGGCGGTCCAACAACTTTAATAAAAAAAAATGCCGAAAATGGTTTTTGTCATCAACAAAGCTCTGGTTGGAGTGACAATCAAATTCATCTGCGAAAACCCACATTCACTGAAAGAAATGAGAATAGTACTCAGAGCGTGTTTCAAATGCGGCAATTTTTCCGGAAATATCTTTTCAATCAAATACTGATGAAGTTCACAAATCATATCTCTTTCATTTAGCTGAAGTGAAGCTCTTCGGAAGTGAAGATTTTTGGTGGCATTTTTATAATATGGGCCTGGAATCAATCATCTTTCTTCAAAAATTTGTACAAGAGCTTTTATCTTTTGATCCTCTTTATACAAATCTATATCGCACTCTTGAAACTCCAAACTCGGTTCAGATAATTCTTGGAGAGCATCAAATATCAATTCTGGATCCAACAGAAATTCTATGCTTGTAATTTTTTACTGTAAGTCCTCATATGCACATTGCTCTTTTTTTGTCTCTTGTTGAATCATGCTTTGCTTCTTCAAAATGTTGCTCTAACACTTCTTAGTTTTCCCAAACAGCTGAAACTGACTGAAAACTAGATGCCACCCATCAAGTGCTTAGCATTTGTCCAATTTTTAAAAGTTGAATCTCCAGGAAGTTCTTGCACACTTTCAATTCTCTATTTTTAGGCAACGCGAGATATATGTTGGTCCCTAATACTGATTTTACAGTGTCACTGACCGACAGTTATACTCTGTGATTAGCAAAGTACCACGCAATCATGAAATGAAATTTGTCTCTCATCAGTTTATTAGCTTTACTTTTACTCCCCAACTATCACACATGCACACAAAATAAATAACTTTTCAGATAGTCTTTATTCATTCTGTAAGACTGAAGACAATAAAGTAATGAATCAAAAATTCCTTTTGCAGTAACATTTTCAAGTTCAACAAGTCCAAAAATAAATTTACCAGCGAGTTAATTCCATTATCTGGGAAACAGATTCAAATGTACATTATTAAGGTAGATTTTTTACACAAAGAAGTTGACTCGTTGATTATCAATGAAATTCTACTTTTCGATGTAGTAAATATATTAATTAGTATTTTTTTCATTTCATTACTAATGTGATTCACAATGGTAGTACATGCATTCGTTGAGTGAAGGATATGGCCCACGTCAATTCCATTTAGTTCTTGTAAATCTATTTCAGATTCAAAGTTATGAAATGATTGTTTTTCTTTTACTACCTTATATGCTGTGCAAAAAATTCTCGCGGTAATCACTTTTTCATGAGATAATGATTTCAAATACACATTTTCAATGGTCTCTTTCTCAGCTTCAGTCAACAATTTTACTGCAGCTTTATGACCTGTGGTTTTCTTGCGATCAAAAAGTTTTTTCCACATAAACAGAAGCTGTTGTTGTCGACTTTCACCAAAATAAGTTATTTCATTGTTGGCCCATTTTTTAGAAACTTTCATTCCTGCCTTCATTTTCCTCCAGAAATTACAATTGTATGGCAAGGTGTATAGCCAAGTTTCTTATTTCTAATATTCAGCCAATTGTACTTCTTGCAAAAATCATTTTTTTGATTGGCAGTCCAACAGCTAGGCTAGTCATTGTCAGATAGCTCGTGGACACCAGATGGAACAGAAACTGTCACTGATGCTGTTAATTCCTGTTCTTGGGTCACTTCCTCACTTATTCTAGCTTTCTTATTCACAGAAGGTGAAAAGAAACTTGTAATTTGTTTCATTTTTACATTGGTGTTTTCTCAAATGCAAAAAAAACGATATACACTCTCAGTCACAATAAAATAAAAGTGCAGTAGAAGAGAAATGCACACTCACTCAAATTGGCATCACCACCTCGACTAAGCATGTCAGACCAAAATTACTTATTCCCAAGACTTTCGCACATATTTTATCTTGGCTGAGGTGCTGTGCGATTAATGACATCATTCGTCCTTGTCCACTTTATGACTTATTTTAGTTGAGTGCATGTACAGTCTAGACCCGCATACCAGTCAACTCGGCTTGTGGTCACCTATTTCCCAGTCCTAAGTGGTCTCTCTGAACTCAGTATTGCGTCCACCTAGGCCGGCTCTCACCTGCTGCTGCTGCACAATTGAAACCTGTCAGTCAAAGTGAGGCCACTACTGTACATCGACTGATAGCAGCCACGTTTTGTGGGTGTTAAAACCAGGTGACTATTGATGTTCCCTATTAATGGTATGCTAATCCTACCTGATGCTTCACACCTCATACTGCACTGATGATCACACGTACATGATCAAACAGTATGTTTTCACACTCCTTTAAACTTTGTCATTTGTAACACTTCTTGTTCAGTGTCTCTTTTGTCTTCTTGTGAACAAAAGATTTGTTCAAAGGGGAAAATTCACACATTCATGTACATAACTCTTTCAAGTTTTGTCACCTTTCTCTCTACTTTGCAATATGAAAAATGGTGCCGGTACGCTGTACTAGTGTGTACCATCTCAAAAAAAGCCCTGAATATAAGTAAACAATATATGTAAAAGGTAATTTAGTACTTTTTTGTGGGCTTTTGCACTCGATCATTGATGTCCTGATGGACATTAGGCCTATTTTTTGTAAGGATGTTGGTAGTATATAACATTTAAAAAAATCTAAATAAGCAAGTTTTAGTACAAAATATTGAAATGCACAGAAAATGAAATTTTTTAAAACTCCTATAATG